AAATACCAAAAAATAAAAATGCCCCAAAACCGAAAAAGTAGGAAACGAATAGGAAGATGAGTCAATGATTTATGGGGGTTCGTAGTGAGAAAATGAGTCTTAGAGACTACGAGAAAGTACAGAATTTTGAGAGAGTGCAGAGAAAAAAGGAGACCCTCCAGAGAATTGGCCATAAATATGAGCACTTTTGTGCACTTTTATGGGGGTCAAGGAAAAATATAACATGATGCTCTCTAATTAGGCAATTGACTATATGAAATGCGTAATTATAGTTTTGAAATTTAAAATGTATATACAGGATTATTTTGGAAAATTGAATAGTCAAAAAATTTATATTTTATCAAAAGTCCCAAATTTTTTGAAATTGCGAGATTCTGAAATTTCATGGAATTCAAAAATTTCAAATTTCAGAATTTCAGATATTTTGAATTTTTGAGCCCCGGAATTTTCGAAATTGGGTGATTCTGTAAGTTCCGGAATTTCAGAATTCCAGAATTTCGGAATTTAAGAATTTCAGAATTTCAGAATTCCATAAATTTTGGATTTTGGAATTCCATAAATTTTGGATTTCTGTAAGTTCCGGAATTTCAGAATTTTAGAATTTCAGAATTTCAGAATTTCTGAATTTCTGAATTTCTGAATTTCTGAATTTCTGAATTTCTGAATTTCTGAATTTCTGAATTTCTGAATTCCAGAATTTCGGAATTTAAGAATTTCAGAATTTCAGAATTCCATAAATTTTGGAATTCGGAATTACATAAATTTTTTATTTCTGTAAGTTCCGGAATTTCAGAATTTCAGAATTTCAGAATTTCAGAATTTCAGAATTTCAGAATTTCAGAATTTCAGAATTTCAGAATTCCATAATTTTTGGATTCCATAATTTTTGGATTTCAGAATTCACGAATTTCGGAATTTCAGAATTTCAGAATTTCAGAACTTCTGAGTTTCGATAGTTCCGAAATTTCGAAATTCCAAAAACAAAAAGGATCTCAAAAACCAGGAAATTCTTGAAATATCAGAAGTAGTGTAATTCCTGAATAGTTGAGAATCAAATTTAGATTCGAGATTTTTTCAAAAACCGAAATTTAAAATTCCAATTTTTGAATCCTTTAAAGAGCTCAGTAAAACTCAAACATTCAAAAAAAGGCAAGTTCTCCGCCCGAAAAAGACCGAAATGACCCATTTTCCAGAAACAATGGGACGATTTGTGGGATGGTGGTCCGTCCAGAAATGGGACATCACTCGGAAGGAAGCAAACATTCAAAAACAAGACAATACTTGAAGTTTCTCTCTCTCTCTCTTTCTCTCTCAATACATGCTTGTTGCTGTTTTTGAATAATGATAGTGGGGCTGGGTCTGGAGCTACTGGAGCTCAAAGAAAAGGGGCGGTCCCAAGGGAGGGGCATCTTCTGAAGAAGAGACTTGTCATAAGAAGAAAAAGGAGGGGACCGGAAGAAGAAGGATATGGAGATTTTTGACAGATTCGTGAGGAAGGGGAGACTTCGAAAAATGAAAAGAGGAAGAGTGCATTCTAGGGAGGATACTTGTAAGCGGACAACGACATCTGGATATACAGACACACAGAAATCCCGGAAAATGATGATCTACTATTAATTTATTGGTGCGGAAATTGGACGATTTGGAATTTTTAAGATATTTCTGAACATCATAAACTGGGCTTATGAGTCGTTAGATTCTTAGATTCTTAGATTCTTAGATTCTTAGATTCTTAGATTCTTAGATTCTTAGATTCTTAGATTCTTAGATTCTTAGATTCTTAGATTCTTAGATTCTTAGATTCTTAGATTCTTAGATTCTTAGATTCTTAGATTCTTAGATTCTTAGATTCTTAGATTCTTAGATTCTTAGATTCTTAGATTCTTAGATTCTTAGATTCTTAGATTCTTAGATTCTTAGATTCTTAGATTCTTAGATTCTTAGATTCTTAGATTCTTAGATTCTTAGATTCTTAGATTCTTAGATTCTTAGATTCTTAGATTCGGAGATTCTTAGATTCTTAGATTCTTAGATTCTTAGATTCTTAGATT